TATTTGACTATTATCAAAGTATGAACTCAGAATGTTCAATAGCTAAAGTACCAATTCAAACTTTCTTATAAGTATTCCTCAAATTTGTGTCATTTCTGCTCAAATATCTATAATCATATTTTAAAAAAAAGATTTTTCCACTGCATTGTGGGTGGGGTACTCTAGAAAGGGCTTAATTTTAGAACTCAGCTATCACTAGGTACTTCAGCATATAGCAAATATGGGTAAAAGAAACCATTCCCAGGGAGTTTAATACACGTAGTGTAAAATACTCTCTAAAACAATTTGTGGTATTTAAAATATGCAACTAAAATATTTCATAAAACTGAGAAACTGAATTTTTTTGTATTGTACTTTGTTGTTTTGTTATTTTCTGAGACAGGGTTTCACAATGCAGTTCAGGTTGGCCTGAACTCACAGCGATCCTTCCAGCTTCAGCCTCCCAAGTGCTGGGATTACAGACATGCAGCACCATGCTCAGTCTTAAACCATACATTCTATTAATGTTTTGATCATGTGGCTTCAACACATATCAATGTAAGTACTAACATACCAATACTATACATACCCAAATGTAAAAAGCATAAATATACCCCCAAAATGCAATGAGATAAAAAATGTTTTTTAAAGCTAGTGATCTTCCCATATACTAGAATATTTGGAGATCAGTGCTTATGGAGAAATAAGCACAAAAATAAGAAATCACTTCTGACTGCAATGAACTAGAGTGGCTTTAGGGAAGAGGAAATTTTTAGTAAGATCCTGATAGTAGGACATTAAATCATTGTATATAATAAACTAACTGGAGAAAACACTGCCAAAAAGGAAAGACATGATTAGTGAAAGTTCTCTCTCTTCTTTGGCATTTTTAAAAACCATATATACTAGTGAACCGGAACAGTCTGGGGTCTTAAAGGCTTACTCATGGGCACACTGAAACGTTGATTCTGCTACTTGTCACTTCTATAGCCCTGGGTACGTTGATTTCCTCATGTACATAATGAGACGGTAATGTCCACTGCTCAGGGTTGTAAAGATATGGAAACCCACTGGCACACTGCCTGAATGTACAATTCTCTGCATTTAACTACTGTTTTTCTTTGCACTTTCCACCTCCTAGGAAATGAGTTCCTTGAGAGCACAAATAGTACATGCCCACTATATCCTTATTATTTAGCTTTGCTTTAGGTACTCAAATATTGGTTAGATATCTGATAAGAAGCTAATTTTCTTTCCTGCAATAAAACATTTCTAAGAAATAGAAACAGGGCTTGGGATTTACCTCAACGACATAACCACCTGCCTGGCAAGTGCAAGGTCGGGAGTTTGATTCTGATACCAAAAAAAAAAAAAAAAAAGGAAAAGACACTAGGGTCTGGATGTGGAAGGCCACACAATCTTAAGAATATGTACTATATTGTACTAGAAAAGTGAGTAGTGTATATTTGAACATTAAACAATGAATGTTGGGGTCTTTTATCTACAAAGATAATTTCACTGGTCTGAATGTACAACTATGTTTGACTTAACAGATATTTCTTTGAAATTTATTTTCTATTTTCTATTATCAAATGTGTAAGTGCTAAAAATTCTTAAGAACAAAGATCTAACTTGACTGATGTTAGGGGTCTAGTTACTTCAGTTCCTCAGCTACTGCTGATTTACATTTACTAAGGATGAAAACTTATCTAATTTAAAAAATGAATCTAAACCAATAAATTATCACACATCTCCTTGATGTCACTGATCCTTAAGCTAAACTTAGGAGGTTTTGAATCTATTTTTAAAAAATGTTTTGACGGTATCAACCTCTCTCCCTTCAAGTTGTCTCCACATATATCACCCATTTGGAATCAGGTTGGCAAATGCATTTCTACATACCTAGGAGAGAAAGCTTAGTGTCTACCATACATAATCCCTTACTCCAATATCAAATTACGACTTCTTCATCTGGGAAACAACTGTTCTATAGTATGGTTTGAACCTTAGCTTCAGCAAACCAGCAAATATTCTGCCTGTTTCAAATAGTTGTGATTCTGTTCCTAAAAGCTCCCTCTGCCACCAGTACCATTCAAAAGCCAAGTATTAAAATATAACCATATCCACACTGTTTTTGTCTTTGACCTGTTTAGTAGGATTTGTGTTAAACAAAAGCACTACTATTTCCAGAGAAGACTGTATCAGCTGGCATTAAAAAAAAAAAAAAAATTGGACTAGGTGTGGTGGCCATGCCATAAACGCCCATATTGAGTTGGTTGAGGGAGGAAGATTCAAGTTCAAGGCCACCCTGAACTATCTAACAAATTCTACGGCTGTGGGAGACTACACAGTGAGATTGTATTCAAAAGCAAAAGCAAAAGCAAAAGCAAATTAGGCTGATTCTTACCGGTGTTCAAGTATTTACCCATAGCTTGGGTAGATTCTAAAGGGAAATGTTCCCTTAGGAAAAAGCAAACTGGGTTATGCTATGTGTAGTCTGAATCTTACCTCTTCCTTCTGCTTGCAATAACTCCTAAGGAAAATTGCTTAGTGAAAGGAAGCTGAAATTCACAAAATGTATGGAATTAAGAATGCTTCAAATACATCTGCTAACAGAAAATCTAAAACTAAAGAATTGTTGGCAACTGTAAGGGGAAAAAAGGAAGTAGAAAAAAAAAAAGACGTGATAAAAAAGCAAGCGGGGGATTCAGAGAGCCAGATTTTAAGGCAAAGGGAGGGAAAATTCAATGGGCAAATAGGTCTGTAAAAATTATCTGATAGGTGAGAAATCCTCTATGACCAATTCTAAGCATAGACTGCTTTACTTCAAGGCCACCCTGAATTGACTTTTTTAATACTAAAAGCAAAGATTTTCATAGATATAATTTCTGAAGTGTAAAAAATGTCTGATACTCAGGTTTCAGCTAAAATGTGAATTGCTTTCTTAGATCTTCCCCACTTAATAAAGCTAGTTATTACATAAAGAATTACCATGAAAAAGCAATACTATATTAAAGAAAAATTCAAGCATTAAAATATAACCGTATCCATATTTTTTGTCTTTGAACTATTTAGTAGGGTTTGTGTTAAACAGAAGATGGCATTGTATAAGACTAAATCACGCAAAGGTGAATTACTACTACTTTCTGGCTTTATCGCTTTTCACGATCTAATAATCATAATAATCTTAGTGAAAAGTGACGTCCAACCTAAGTGCTATCAAGAATACTGTTATAAGAATAAAAGGGAAAAATGTGATTTAGAATATGTTCATAAAAATATTGATGCTGACAAAAATCAAAGCATAAGTAGTTACGACTAAGACACTGCACCCAAATCAGTAGGTACATCAGTCAGTACTTCTATAAATGAAGAAGTATTGTTAATCTTTCACTAGGAGTTCATTAGAAAATTCAAAAAAGCTTAAATTTTAGGGTTTAAATTTAAATTTAAGGGTTTAAATTTAAGCTCAAATTTAGCTTAAATTTGAATCTCATTTAAAAAGACAAGTATTTTGTTATGGCAAAGCTTCTGTATTCAACCACTACAAAGACACACTATACGAAGGAAAATAAATGCCTCGGGAAAAAATTTCAGTCTTGGACAAAAAGCCCAAAGACAGAATATCAGAAGCATTAGCACAAACAACTGGTGATTCTTCTGGCAAATGAAATGATATGACAAACAATATTTTAACAGTAAAATTCCAGGCAATAATATTAAATGCATAAAGTAGCAGTAAATTCATGGCAAAACAAAGTTCATTTCTGTGTTTTACTAATACAAGTTTATCTGAAGAATGTCAATGTTGCTGAATTTTGCTTGTTAAATATTCATTCTTACTCAAGGAATTGCTCTTGGGCAATCTATATTATTGCTACTACATCTGGTTAAAAAAAGATGTTTGAGGTGGGGCCCTTCCCTTCAGAAAGAAAGAAATTCTGTGATAATGCTGTATGCTTTTCAGTACTATAAGGTTAAACTCTTGGAACATTTGAAATAGGTAGTAAATCTATATTTAGGATAATCTACTTTCTTTTCTAATGGTATCAATTAACAACTAAAGAAAGCTAATTGGAAAATATCTGGTGATCTGAACACGCTAAATGATACAACTCTGCTCCCAAAGCAACACAAAGTCACTTTTATCTCCTTAGCTTTTCTAGAGCTGGCTAATCCAGCAGTGTGTTTACACATGTATACACATGCGTGCTAACAATTAACATATTGGGTAGCAGGTTACCAAAAACCAAGGCATAAAGGCCTTACAAACAAAACTATTGCCTAGGAATAATTGTTTTAATTCATATTCTAAAATTCCCAGACAGATTTAATATCAGTAGACCTGAGCTCTTCATGAAATATGCTTAAACTCACCCTAATTTTTTGGACTTACAGATTACATTTCAGTGTACCTTCATGTATGTCCAAAACAGGATTAAGTGAAGCTGGAAACATTTTTTAAATACTAAGAGCAAAGATTTTCATAGATATAATTTCTGAAGTGTAAAGAATATCTGATACTCATGTGATACATGATACAAAATGTGATACAAACATGTGAACTGCTTTCTTAGATCCTCCTTGATGTTTTAGTCAGTAAAATGCTTTTATCACTTTATCTTACTAACACCACTTTCTGAAATACCTTGTCCAGTTATCTACCGGACTTATTTTCTAACTCTAGAATTAAGAATTTATGAGAACAAAGATCATTTTTTAGCAGATCCACTATTTGTTGAATAAATGGATTTCCCAGTGTACATTAGCAAATCTAGACTAACAATTAAGGATCCTAATTTTTTAAAAGATACACCAGGTATATTATTTTAACACAGAGGTGGAATATTTTCTTTTTTCCCTTAAAGTGAGTAACATTTACTGCAGAAAAATCATGCCAGTTTATTAAAAGTGAAAAACTTTGGGAATTTCCCTCAAAAAAAAAAAAAAAAAAAAAAAAAACCTCATGAAATATTTACCCCATAACATTTATATTAGTTAAAAATAACGAGATGAAACAATTTTGAACATGGTAATTTATTTTATGCAGCTTAAATCCATTGTTTAAAAATTTTCAAAAGGCACTTTAAAAAACATTTAAAAACACATTTTTCTAACTTAATGGTGATCACTTAAAATAAGCAAGTCACCAAATTTTTTTAATCATTCGTGACACTATGATTTTAAATAATTCTTAAATTTCAAAACACATTCACTATATAGTACAACACACTGCTTAGCAGTAAGATTAGTTTCCCTCTGATAACATATTTCATGTAGATTACTCATTGTAGGGCCCTGCAAGGCTATTCAGATTTAATTAATACAAACAAAGCTAGAGAGGTAAGAGTTGAAACAGAGCACACTTCAGCTCTAACGCTACTTCTGGAGTTGTTGCTTTCTGAAGAGAACTTCTGTGGGTTCTTATTTCAATTTGTTAATTTTATTTCAACTTGGATATATAAATGAGTCTTTTTAATCAAGAGGTTACATTTAGCATACAATATACCATAGGCTGTCTCCCAGATTTCTTAAGCATGTTTCTGTGGAGCCTATTATAAACAGGCAGGTAAATGAAGCAAATGATCCAAAAAAACTTTACTTCTTTCAATAATTACATTGTAGAATTAGTTTAAAATTGTGTATTTTTAAGTAGGGCAATTAATTACCCTGAGAACCAGCAGGAATTATTAACTTCTCACAGGGAAACCTAAAGTTAGGTATAAAATTATCAGCAAGTAATACAAATTCTCATAATTAATAACAGCCAAATTAAAATTATGAAGGCATCATTACGAGTAGTTAGAAAGTGGAGGTTAGTTATTAAGGGAATCAAGGGCAATAAATACAAAGAAGCAAAAACTGGTAAAAGACAGGATGATCTAATGATAAATCCAGTGAGGGAATTTTTCAAGTACAAGAGTGACAATCTGGTAATACAGTTTGATGGGCTCAAGGAAATGAAAAATCAATGTTAGAAAAATGATTATGAGAATAGCAACTTTAACATGTAAGTCTAATTACCATATTCAAAAGATTAAAAACTGGTCAGTGATTTATTTTCTAATCTTATTACAGTGACAGAAACTCCTCTGAAACAAAGTATTTGAAAATAATCAAATCTTGGGATGAAAACCTTTCTATGAAATTCCAATCAGAAAATATGAACATGATATTGTCAAAGATCAAAACACATCAAAAGCCTTTACATTAGTACCACTGAAATAATTCAATGACAAAGATCTTAATCTAAAGATATGACAAATAATCATTGTTATCATGAAATCTGATTGTATGTGCTCTGTCAAATGCTTGGAGAATGTTTGCTTCGTTAGCTCACACAGAACAGTCAAACACTGCATGTTAAAAAGAGCATTTTGCTATCTAACATTTATCAGTAACACTTTCGTGGACATCTGATGACATTTACTTATGTATGTTTTTAATGAATGTACGTACTAATGAACCGTTCATATCCAAAGTGAATTTACTGAACTTGGAGAATTAAAAGACCACAGATTTAATATCAGTGCTTTGATATTAATCACTCTAGAAAAGCTAAAGTATTTTGCCAAAATCAACCCACTGACACTTTAAATTATCTTTAAATACTTTACCTTTAATATACTGTGATTCTGGACTAAACTGATTTAAAACATGCTTTGTTGAAGTTTTTGAAAATTGCCTTGCTCACAGGGCAGTTATCCTGAGTGTGTTCCAAAGACTATTTGCACCATAATCCTGTAAGCAGTAGAGCAATGGTTCTCACAGTAGGGTAATTAAGACTCACCTGTGGGGTTTACTTAATCATGGGTGAAGAATCACACTGGAGTTTCTGATTTAGTAATTCTGAGCTAGGGCATTTCCAACAAGTTCCCTCGGACACTGATACTGTTATTTGGACCACTGTTGGACAACTATTGTGTGGTACCTGGTAAGAATTCATAGTAATGGGCCCAAGCTACAATCAGAATTCCTGGACTGGGGCCTTGAAATCCCCATTTAAACGCACTCCCAGGTAAGAGTGTGAGAACCACAATTTAAATATCAGTATAACATTTGGCTGGTTAATTTGACTGGTACTGGCCAATGTACCAGGTGTCATATACTGTATACATGAAAATGAGAATAATGCTAATGATCCCAAGGCTGACCAACACAAACAAACACACTGAAATTGAGTATGCATCCTATTTCTGTTACTTACTAGCTTTGTAACAGTGCAAAAGTTACTCGAATTCTCTGGCCACAGTTTCCTTATCTGTAATATGGGAATAATAATCAGTGAGGATTAACACTACTATATAGAGAATAAGCACAGTACCTGGTATACAGTAGGTACTAGATAAATACTATAAGAAACAGACAAAAACATTTTGTTATTTGATTTGATTATTTTACTCATTTCAATCAAATATTTACACACCAGGATAGATAAATGAATAATAAAACCTTATATTTTATTGCTCCTTATGCTGGGCTAGACACTTTTAAAAGCCTTGCATATATTTCTTAATCCTCATAAAAATCATATGAGGTAGGTAGAATTATCCCTACTTTACAGATGAGGAAACTTAGGCACAGAGAGACTAAATTGCCCAAGGTTACAAAAGTAGTAAGTGATGGGGCAAAAATGTAAAACCCAGGCAGTCTGACTCAAAGTCCAGAATTCATTGCAGCATTCATTTCCTATGAGTCAATTTTAGGGATTTATGTTCATGAAGGACCACAGATAAATTCATATCCACACCACAGTCAGAAGTTGTTCAAAGAACAGAATGAATGACTTGAAATTTTGTAGATATCACTAAAATAACAGGTAAAACTTGGAGTGTGTTTTTCGATGGGAAAGAGTAGTCCAAATTAGTCACTGAAATTACAGTCTCTCAAATATACCATACAAATAGGTCATGGTATGTTTTGGCACAATAAATATAAATTAGTCAAGCAACAAAATCAATGGCATGACAATCAGCATAATGAAAATCATATGCAATATTAAAAATAACCTTACATAAAATCTGCAAAATAGTTATACAATCAGTATTGCTAAAGACATAAAAGACTGAAAATTCTCTTTGCAAAAATTGTTCAAGCAAAATGATTAAATTAAAATGAAACATTTAGAAATGTTTTTGATGGTATGCTTGAATGGGTATTCTGTGATGTTAGAATCATCTATTGGCAAGACAATTATTCCAAAATAAGTTACTATCAAATTTCAGGTTGTTCATAAATTACTTGGGTCTGTTAACATTTCTTAGTTTGTTTAAACATGACTTTCTAATGCATTTAGTTAACTCTGGTCAAAATATTAATTCAAAATATTTTGCCAGTTGAATAGCCACCTCAAACCTAAACATGAATTTTAAAAAAGTTTTAACTAAGTTATGAAAGGCACAAGCAAGTTCTCATTTTAAAAGGATGAGAATCAAAAGAAGAATTATGTAGTTAGAAGGAGTAATTCCTACAGTGGCACTGATATAAAAGCATGCCAAAAAAGGATTAAATTTATTATTACCTACAATTAACAATGGGTAAATTTTGGAACAAAATATTTTAATATGATTGTTTACAGAATAATAATCTTTAATAAATATTAAGAGTGGAGAATAGTTCTCAAGAGTGGTTAGAAAATAACAGATTCAGTGAAAGATTAATTAGAACCAAATATATTGAGGCCCATGATAATTTCAAAATGTAGTTTTATTAACGCACTTTAAGGTAAGTGCCATTCTTATTCAATCTTCTTTAAGGAACACTGCTAATTATAAATAATCACAGCAAACTTTTCATCAAGACAATTGTGTGGAGATGAGTGGTTCATTTATATCACACTGCAAATGTATTTTTAAACAATGCTAAGCAACAACATTTCCTTCTAAAATTTTAAGGCAGGTCTGTTTAGCACTGTGTGTTACTAATGTGGTAAGAATGCAAATTTAACTGTTTTAGTTTTTAGTTTCTCAGTGACAATAATACACATGGTCAAAATAGGAAACAAATTCTCTTTTACTAGATCTACTTGCTACCACTTTAAAAACAAGTTCTATATATTACTGTATCAAAACACATTTAACACATTTCACAGCTCATTTAAAGCTTGGGCTTACAGTCATTCGTGTGGAATGTCACTGGGGTTTTGGGGTTCCGTGTCAGAGATGTGTAAGTCCTTCAGTGCAACATCAGACAATTTACCTTGGCTCATTTGTTTTCCTGTCAAGGGTTTCCTAATTTTACTTTTGGATCTTCATTTTTGTTTATTTGACTTCCTTCCTTTAGGATGTTCTCAGGTAAGGCAGGTTGATATCTATATAAATAACCATACGCACGAAGATGGTAAACGAGGTATTCTAATTCATACATTGTTGTAGAATCAACATAGTGAAAAGAAATTGCAAGGTCAGAACAGCAACCAGGACCCTAAAATAATGGTGAAAAAACGTTATTAATAAAAAGCACATTACTATCCAATCATCACATACTAAATTTATTTTTTATTTATTTTGAATTGAAAAATAGAACAAATTTATTGGTTAAAGTAATTTACTTGTTGGGAGTATCACTGTCCCAAAGAAATACAATGTGAGCCATATGTGATTTCAATTTTCCATTATTCCCATTAAAATAATCAAAGAGGTAAAATAAATTTAGTATATTACTTAACCTAATAAAGTATATCAAACTATTCTTTTAAATGTAATCAATGCAGAAATAATTGAGACATTTTACCTTCTTATGCTAATCCTAACTCTTAAAAATTCAATATGTATTGTATTTTTTAAAACCAAGTACATTTATTAGAAAATAAAGTTATAAAATAACCTTTCCTTGAGAAATTAAAAACAAAAGACAGAATAAAACAAAACATGAATAGAAAATAAGGTCAGAAAACACAATCCCTTACCAAACTGCCAACATCATTTTTCATAAAAATTAACATTTTGATTCTTACATTTTTGTAAAAATGGAATAGTCTAAACAACTTTGATAAAGCAACAAAATTAGAGCTCCAACCTTCCCCATTCCCAGGACTTATCACAAAGTTACACCAATCATGACAAAACAACATTGATAACAAGATAGACAAAGTACCAATGTAAAGTCCCAAAACAGATACTCATGTAACAGACAAATGATTTCTGGCAAAGATAAAAATGCAATTAAGTGGAGAAAGAGCTGTACCCTCAATGAAAATAGTGGAACAACTGTATATCCACATGCAAAAAATCAAAACCCTATCGCACATCAAAAATTTCTTAAGACATCCAAAAGTCAACTCAAAATGGCTCACAGTGGGGTAAAGGCAGGTGTGGCCAAAGCTGTTGCTTGGCTGAAGTCATCCTCTCTCTGGGACAAAACACATGTTTTTTCCTTATCATACTAATGAAACAATATGATGTTTATAGATTTGTGACATATTTATTTCCCTAATAAGTATGTTCTCAAGGTGCATCCATTTATCTATAAAAACATCCAGTTTATCCTTCTTTACACATACTAAATTTAGAAGAATTCAAATATTAAAGTTGGTATGGCAAAGAAGAGGTACCTAATTTATTAAATACATGAAAGAAAATGAGTAATTTTTAGAATTCTTAGCCAAACATAAAATTGCTTAAGTGTTTCTAACTGAAATAATATTCTTTTACTTTTCAGTGTTTTAGTAAAATACAAATTCCCAGGCAAGAGTATATGAACACACAGTGTTTAATTTGATTTTTCTGATCCTTCCTAGAAGCAATTTTTATGACTGAAATATTGTATTATGCTGTTTTCTTAAGCATACAAACAATAGAAGGCAATATAAGAGAAAAAATAGCTAAATTAATTAGAAACAAAGTAATTCCTTTAAGATGACTGTAGCTACAAAAAAACTGGAGTCTCAAGAGGAAAATAACCATAGGTAGGAAATTCTATAAGATGCTTAAATTTTTTTAAATGCCAATTAAAAAAGCAAGATTTTTAAAAGCGCAAACACAGTAGTATCAAAAATAGGAAATACTTAAAATCTATTAAAGATCTGAGAAAAAACTACAAAGTATCTCTTAGGATCTAAAGGCAACCCAAAGAAAAAATCCTAGGCAAAAATATAATTGTCTCTAAATTAATAAGTTTATACGCAAGGATAAAGACATAAAGTTGCCAAAACTCCTTGAAAGAGAAGGCAAAGAGAGAAACAAACACGTTTTTAAACTAGTAACTTAAAGAAAGCTCACTAACAATATAGTGTTGAGCCAAAACCAAGTAGAATAATGGACGGAACTGAAATTCCAAACACTGATGCTACTGTAAGGAAATGCTACAATAAAGGAGGTTCTTTAAATCAGCTGTGGAAGTACCTAAGACTCAGTAACAAATTATAATGGAGATTAACAATTTGAAAAAATCGAGCTATCTATCTTAACCATGTAGTAATATATTTGACAGATGGAGTTAATGTAAATAAGATTATGATAAATTATATCTGACCATTTCTGAACTACAGAAAAATACATTTAAGAGGAATATATATATATATATATATATATAAATAAAATTATAGAGTGGTACCTAAGTTCATGAACACTTTTGAGAACAACTTGGTCTGCGAACAAAAGCAGGCAAAAATTTGTTTCATCTTCAAACTTTATCAGGAGACAAACAACCATGACCATCTTTCTCCTAAAAACACAAATGTGGCCATCTTTTCAAAAACTGTGAAACAAATTAAGGTTGTGGACTAAGGTACCACTGTGTATCTATTTTAATACAGACATTCTGAAGGACATTTTAAAGATAATAAATACTACAATTCCAAGAACACAACAGAAAAAAGCCACCCGGCAAGGTAAGCAATTAAACAGGGAATCAACAACAGAAGAACAGTACTATAAAGATAACCTGACACATAACAGCTCTAACTACCAACGTACATAGTTTCAATTCACCAAAAGAAACAAACCAGCAGAATAGATCAAGAAATAAGATTTACAACTCAGCACACAAGAAATATTTAACTCAAAAAGAAATTCACAGACTGAAACTGAAAGGATGGAAAACAATGCTTCATGCAACAGGAACCCAGAGAGGCAAAACAATGCTTCATGCAACAGGAACCCAGAGAGGCAGGGGGTAGTTATTCCATTTGTAGAGGAAGTGAACATCAAGCCAAGACAGATAGAAAAAGAAAAAAACTACAAGAAGAAGAAATAATCATAAATATATATGGACCAAATAATGATGCACCCAACTATATAAAAACAAGTGTTAATGGGTGTGAAAAATCAAATAAGCACTAACACAACTGTAATGGGGGACCTCAATATTCCACTATCACAAATAGATCAACTAGACAAAAATCAACAAAGAAACACCAGAACTGAACCAAACCTGTGAACAAATGGACTGAGAAGGTATCTACAGTGTTTCAAACTACAAAATCAGAATACACATTCTTCTCAGCTGCACACGAGACATTCTCTAAAATAGACCACATACTAGTTCACAGAACATGCTTAAGTAAATGCAAAAAAACTGAAATTATCTAATGCATATTATCAGATCATAGTGCAATGATACTGGAAATCAGTGGTAAAAGAAATTACATAAACACATGCAAATTAAGTAATATCCTTCTGAACAAACAAGGGGTCAGATGAAATTAAAGAAATTAGTTTCTATAATTAAATGGTAATGCCAGTACAACATAATGGGACTTATGGGACATAATGAAAGCAAACCTAGAGAGAAATTTACAGATTTGAAATCTCAAATAAGGAAAACAGAGTGAGCTCAAGTAACCTAATTCTGAACCTCAAACTTTTAGAAAAGTAACAAGTCAAGTCTAAAGCTCCAATGAGAGAGGGAAAAAGAGCAGAGCAGAGATTAATGCAACGGAGACTAAGAAAATAATATAAAGAATCAAGGTCTCACAGAGGTGACTCTTTAAAAGATTAATAAAACTAATGAATCTGTAGTCAACTTTATCACAACAAAAAAGGAAGACTCAAATCAAAGCAATTAGAATGAAAAGAGCGAAATCACAATGGTCCAGCAGAAATCCAGAAGATCAATTCCTACTTTGAGAAGCTGTATTCTAGTAAGGTGAAAAAACACAGAGGAAATGGACAGATTCCTAGATACAAATGAAATCCCAAAGCTGAATCAAGAAGATATAAAAATCCTAAATAACCCAGTATTAGTCAATGAAATTGAAAATGAAATTAAAAACTTACCAACAAAAGCCTAGGCACTCATGGATTCATTAATAAATTCTGTAAGAAATTTAGAAAAATCTAATGCCATTACTCTTTAAACTCTTTAAAAAGGGAAGCAATATACTCAAATTCATCCTTGGAAGCAAGTATTACTCTGATACCAAAGCAGAGAAGGAACCAATCAAGAAAGACAAATACAGGACAATCTTCCTAATGAACACTGGTTTAAAAATCAAGATTATACACCATAACCAAGTAGGACTCACTCCAGAGATGCAAAAGTGGTTCAACATACACAAATTAATAAATGTAATACACTGTATCAAGAGAGTCAAGGACAAAAATCACATGATTATTTAAACAGAAAAAACATTTGACAAAGACCAATATCCAATCACAATTAAAAAAAAAAGTACAGAAAATTGGAATTGATGGCCTTTTTGTCAATCTGATAAAAGTCATCTATGACAAACAGCCAACATTATACTAAATGGTCAGAAACTGAAAGCTTTCAAAAGGTTAGCCAGAGCAGTTAGATAAGAGAAAAAAAAAAGATTGGAAAGGAAGTTTTATATCTTCTTGATTCAGCTTTGATAGCTGGATTCAAAGTCAGTACTCAAAAATCAATAGCATTCCTATATACAAATAACAAACTCGCTAAGAGAGAAATTAGGGAAATCACACATTTCACAATAGCATCACAAAAGATGAGATACCTAGGAATTAATCTAATGAAGGAAATACTTTACATCAAAAACTACAGTACTCTGTAAAAGGAGATTGAAGAGCAAATATGATACTACACTTGATCTTAGCTAAAAGGCCAAGAGCCAAAGAGGATAAAAGAATATGGAGAGAGATTGCTTGCTCTTGGATAGGAAAAACCAACACAGTGTAAATAGCCAAAATTGTTCTTCAGATTTAATACAACCCAGATCAAAATACTAACAGCATAGCTCACGAAATTCTGAGAAAACAGACCTAAAATTTAATTGGAATCACAAAAAATCTAGAATAGCAAATGCAGTTCAGAGCAATGAAGGTAAATCAAGAGGCATCAAATTCCTGACTTTATATAATAAAGCTACTATGATTTAAAGAAACAAAAAACCAATGATACCAGCAAAAAAACAGACCTGAGGATCACTGGAGCTGATCAGAAGATGTAGAAACCACCACCTGATCTTCAGTAAAGTGGCAAAACACTTTCACGCACGCCTTTTTAACAAAGGGTGCTGGAAAAGGTGGCTTTCCACATGCTGAAGGCTAAAGACCACAGTCTCTCATCAGGCACTAAATTAAACAAAATGGATCAAAGATTTTAATATTAAAACAAAGATTAAATCTGCTGGAGGAAGACAATAGGTAACAGTGTTGAAGACACAGGTATAAGCAAAAACTTAGGTGAACAAATCTCTAATTGCACAGGAAGTGTCACAGAATCAACAACTGTGATCTTACTAAAAGCTGCACAACAAAAGAAATCAACAGAGTAAAGAGACAACTCAGAGCTGGAAAAAGTTTCTCACAGCTGTTCCTCAAAGCACTAATATCTAGAATATATAAGGAACTCAAAAAAAAAAAAAGGAGACCCCCCCCCCAATTTAAATACCTAATCTAAAAAAACGGGCATCTGAAATGAATAGACACTTTTCAGATGAAAAAGCACAAATGGCAAGTAAAAACATGAAAAAATGTTCAACCTCACTGATCATTTGAGAGGTGTAAATTAAAACAACGCTGAATGGCCATTATCAAGAAATCAATGAACAGCAAATGCTGGTGGAGCTGTGGGGGAAAAAGAAACCCTTCTCCACTGTTGGCGACAGTGTAGACTGGTACAACCACTGTAGAGATTTCTCAAAAACTAGGACCAGAGGTTCCATTAGACTCAGCTATTTACTTCTTGATATCTTCCCTAAAGAATTAAAAGCATCATACTACAGCAATATATGTACACCCATGCTCACAGTGTCAGTTTATAATAGCTAAATCTGGCAAACAGGCCAAATGCCCATTAACAGATGAATGATAAAGAAGATGTAGCTTAATACAATGAAATACTACTCAGGCATAAAGGATAAATTTGAGACATTTCTAGATAAATGGATGTCCCTTAAGACCACACTCTTAAGTGAAATAATTCAAACACGCATGTAAATACTGCATTGTTTCTGTGGTGTGAGAAACTGAAAGTATAAAGAAGCAAAATATGTAACATGTTCTGTGAAATAGAAAATGCTTCAATGGGAAGTGGAACTAGGGGTGGGAGAAAGGGAGGGAGGGAGGGAGGAAAAGAACGAAAAAAGCAAGGAAAAAAATAGAAAACAAATCTGCAAATACCGATGGGAAGAGGGGTTGAGGGGAGGGTAGGGAAATGTGAAAAAAGATTTATAATGTACAGGTAACAAATTTCCTATGATGAATGTGAACATTATATGTATTTAAAATGTATCAATAAACTTAATAAAAAAGTTACAAATTACCTGGTAAAGAGCCTTGTCTAAAAGATTTCTAAGAAATTAGATGGTGGCATGAGAAGAGAACTGTCTGAAGAATCAGTTCCAAACAAGAATCTTAAGAATATAACTCTTTGATAAAAAAGTTGAATATCTTCATCTCTACTTGTCTGATAAGAATTTTCTATATTTCTATATAGTAATCTTAGTGATTACTATAAAGAAAAAGTATATGTGTGATACTTAGAAAAACTTTGAGAACAGTAACTCACATAGGGAGAACTTACAGCAACAGATGAATAACCAAATTTTGGTTTCACTAGGTTTTTGTAAAATGTCTTGATAGAGAATAAGTAATTTTAGAAGAAGAGTTCAATTTTAGTACTTCAAATTTTTAGAATTTTCAATACAATGCAATAAATTTTTAAGGGGATATCAAAGTACCTTCATTTAGAAACCACTTATGATTTAAATAAAAGATGCCATAAACAAGTAAGTTTTGTAGTTAGGGTTAATACACTTCCATATTTTACTGGTTACAAAATAAGGACAGTGATGATGTCCCTTTGCTGTTGTACATGCAATATTTTAGTAATCTTTATATGCCTTGGGATATATTTGTACATGCTCTGTAATGCTCTTAAATTTGAGTACATTTTTATATGAGAATGGGTGTAGAATTTAGAAGGTGGATGGTCAAGTCATCTTGCAATGATCAGAATAGCATCCAAAGTAGTACTCACTAATAGAAAAGAAAAATGGATTATCAAAAAGCAGATTGGAAATATTATACTTCCATTTCACAGTCCTAATAAATTGCAGCTACAACAACAAGGGAAAAACAGCATAAAGTTACAATAATCTCATTACACTGAACTCAACTTACAATGTTCAGTTCTTAAAAGTGAAGTTTACCTCAGCAATATAACAGTTGTTCTAACATATGCACTCTACTTTGTCTTGTGGCAGGCACATTATCCTACTGATCCTGGAAAGCAATTTATGAGCAGTACAAAGAAAATAACAATTTTTATAATCACAGTGGTTTACAATATTGCCTAATCCAGTGATGGTGCACGTTTTAGAGCTTTCAATGATGAAAACAACTGTGGCACTAATGCCATAGCTTCAACACCAATGGCCAAGTCAATGATCAGGTTAGGTCAATTACTGAATTTTCCTGCACCTCAGTTTAGTTATCTATTAAACACAGAATTGTTGTAAGGATTAGTTATCTATCGTGTTTGTGTAGACACAAAGAACATACAAGTGGCTGACAGTAAAAATTGGTATTTTGCCTCAAAATTTCCTTTAAAGCTGATCACCTAAAAGTTTGGGCCAGAAGTTGTAGGTCAGGCACTTTGACACTACTGATATTTTATGAAGCATAAGCCTGTTTGTTCTATGCCCTGTGGAATGGTTTTTATCTAGTGAGTTTCTACTTATTAAATGCCATGTAGCAACCTAGTTCGAGAAAACAAATGTTTTCCATACCCACCAAATAACCCATGGGGAACAAAACTGCCTCTATTAGGGAACCATTATTCTAGATAATGACTTGAAAGCACTGGCTTGTGAAAAGAGCGGTACAACAAACTGTCTTGTTAATATGAGGCAGACAAAAGGAGGCACAGAAAGCTAGTAGGGTCTTTCCAAAAAGACATTAATAAGAGAGTGGAGGCTAGAAACTAGGTTTCACAGTTCCTAGTCACAACCAGATGTTCACTGTAGCAGTGCTCATAAGAGTGAAAAACTAGGTACCACCTACATTCATATCAGCATGGAAAAACTATGTTATTTAGATTATGCAACAGTTTAAAGTATTGTAGATACATATTAACATTAATATGTCAATGTTATGTGAAAAGGGAAAATGTGGAAAAATGCATAAAGTATAATTCTATGTATCTAAAGTCTGTAAATACTATATTTATGAACATATCAACATGAAGAAAAACCATACATGATTAAAGAGTAATATTAAATTTATGACAGTGTTTGTTATGGTTTATGTCTGGATGTCCCCTGAGAGCCTGATGTAGTCACTGGGGGAGGGACAGGCTTTACTGGAGATAGATAAATTACCTACAGAGTTTGTGACTGATTCACAGTGTAATGCTAGAATTAAGGCTGAGTGACTGCTGGATCACCGGCACCACCCTAGTACGTACTCTGCAGCCTGGATAAGATGCTTGTTTCCCCCTCTTGCTCTTGCTGCTTTTGCGTTTTCCACTGCCATAAACTGCTGTTCCTCTGCCATGGCACCCTGCCTGGGAGCCAGCTCATTATGGACTGAAACTATGGTGCTGGGTATTTTGTACTAGCACCAAGAGTAACTAAGACAGTGTTTAATTCTAGGGAAGGAGGTAAGTGAAGTACAATGGAGGGGGTATGCAAGGTTCAAATATAATATTTCTCTTTTGAAAAAAATTTGAAGCAAATGTTACAAAACATTTGGTAAAACTGGGTGGTAAGTATGAAGTATCAGATTATTCTCAAACAGCTGTATAGTTGAAATAGTTCATCGATATATTTTAGATAAAATTCTCATGACTGTAAGCTGAGGTACCAAATCAGAGCCAAGCTTATTAAACACTTACCATGTGATAGACTATACTATAATTACAAGTAAATGACATGTGTAGCTCATGAGAAAACAGGCTCAGACCTTAGCCAAATTCTGTCCATTCCATGGTTATTCCAGTTGCTAAATGGGAGAGCAGAATTTACTCAGGTATTCCTGAACCTCAAGGTCTTCTTCCATGTTGTTCCTAATGATTAGAAGACTCTTTGACCAGGTCTTCAGTTGGCTATCTAGCCTCACTCAGGTTTTTGTTAAAAAGTCACCTCTTAGGCCCTACACCGTATCCCACCCATTACGGGTTACTTTAAGCTTCATTTTCTTCACAGCACTTAACAGTACCTAAAATCATATCCTAGTGAATCTGCCTGCTAATGGTGTATCTACTCATTGAGCATGTACAGGTCTTGAGAACTGTAGCTTGACTGTATTTGCTTTAATGGTCTCAATGCTTGGCATACAGTAGCATCAAGAGATACTGGTTAAATGTCTACTGCTGATTTCCATCTTCATTTGCTTGTTATACTGCCATAATAAAAGACTAAGGAAAATTCTGGTTACTGATACTAAAGAAACATAGACAGAATAGTAGTTTGTTATTTTTTGAAAGTCAACAAAGCCAATCAAATCCCAAGTATTTATACAGTAATAAAATTTTCAAACTTACCTCTACTGAAGGATAATAATTATAATTCCAGTACCAAAAGGTTTTGGGTAGGTAACCTTTGATTAAGTGGTGTTCCGGGACAAAGGGATGAAAAGTTTCTTTTCCAGTGGTATCTCTTGAATCTCCAGCTTCTACATTCATAATTTCCATGCATCTTCCCAGCGCTAAGTCTTCAATGGAAGAACTATGTGTACATTTTTCTGTTTTAAATGCATCAATAAATCTCCTCAAGGCTTCTTTGCTTAGTATATATCCGGCTCCTCCACTCATGTAACCCTGCTTTACATAGGGCTTAAATCTTCTTCCAAAATAAATGGGTTCTTCAGGGCTATGTTTTGAAAGAAGCCATCTCAAATTGTCTAGTATTACATAGGTATCATCATCTGCTTTCATAAACCAATCCGCATCTTCTAAATAATGGTCATGAACATATTGAAAAGCTTTAATTGTTTTCCAGTATAGTTGATCTCTACCTTCTTTGGTTTTTAATCCCACAGTAGGGAAGTCTTTATTTTCTTCTGAACTCATAAACAACACTTTATTACAACGTTGGGCCCATGTAGCTTTAACATGTTTGGCCTTTTTCTCTAGATTTTGAGGGCCCGTCATAACCCAACAAAGAATTCTAACTTTCTGGTACAGGTTTTCAGCGATGTCTGTGTTTTCATCTATAAAACAAACATTTTTAAAAGTTATACTTAAAGGCAAAATCCAAATAATATATATTGAAGAAAATATTTTCTTAAAGACTCTCCTCTATTTACCTATTATTAGAGATTTAGATGAAAAAAAGTAAAATTCATCCTAATGTAACTACATTCTGAATCACAAGTTCATGGCAGTTTTATTGAGATCACTCAGCTGTCTCTAGCACTTAAACTCTTATCACTCAACTGTTGTTCACAGGACAGACACACCATCAAGACTGCTGGAGACTGTCACAAATGCAAGGTCTCAGGCCCCTGCTGAATCAAAATCTTAAGAAGTTTCCCTGGTGATTCATATACATGTTAAATATTGCTTTAAATAATCTCTGCTTGGCACTTCATATTACAGACAAAGATTCAGCTGTTTTTCAGAACATTCACATGAATTTTTCACTCCTCTGAGTGAGTTCCTGAAGGGCATGAAAAAGATGCTGCTGAAGTGCAGGTTCACTTCTGATGGTCACTGGAGTCCATGGTTATGAATTTCTACAGGTACCCTGAGGTGGTCCTCAGAGTCTCTATGATAATACAACCCAAACAGGAAATTAATGCAGGTTTGAGATTATTTCTGATAATTCTAAACACTTCATTACTTCATTTCACAATGCAAATTCACCAGTCAGAAGCAGAACAGAATGGGTGCGATTTCCAAGATTGTTTGGAACACTTTTTTAAACTACTAGTTTGCAAGGAAATAAGCTTATGGCACAATATATCAACATGATCAACATATTTTTTTATCAAGGAATGATTCTGATCAAAAGTGGGAAGGGAAAGGTCCATTTGACTAAGTAGTCAGCTTAGGACTTTGACTGACGTCCTGGCATAAGCTGCTTTCCTGGGTGCAACCAATTCACAGCTGTCAGGCCAGGACATTATACAGTGCTAGTCTAAGAGAAGAGCCCAATTATGAGATTCTCAACTAATACTTATTAAACTTACTAAATACTTGTCTGTGAAGGACCATTTTTGCTCTTAATTGTTAAATATAAATATGGTAAAATTCAATGACTAGAAAAATATAAGCTAAAATATACAAGAAGGTCTAAAGTCTTTATTTTTAGATTCAGAGAAAAAAAATTACTATTACCATAAAATGTTTATTTACTTCAAGTTCAGTTTCAATCTGTATTTAATTTCTGAGTCTACAAACTACACTGAGTAGCTATTCTGTGGTATCTTAAGGAAGGGTACTCTCTTAAAGTTAGGATCAAATAGTGGGCTTCAAAATCTTAGTCCTGTAAAAAATTAACAATAGTGGCATAATCTACTAGTCAGATGATTGAGAGAAGAAAAGGTTGAATATCAAGAATTCATAAACCTAGTGGCCATTATCCCTTATTTTCAGTAAGAAAGCACTAACAAACCCAATCTCTTATGGCTATATAGATAAACCAAACACAGAAGACAGTACATGGAGGAACCCACTTCCTTTTCCACCAATCTGTCTCAGGACACAATGGCGTTGATACTCTTACTTTCAATTATTCATTTATTAATCGCTTTGTACCAGTGTGCTGGCACCGGAGATGAAAAGATGGAGACACTTTTCCTGCCACAGAGGAACTTACAGCAGGGGAGCCTGACATGCCAACCAGTCACTGCTACATATAAAACATGCTAATGTACAAAGGGCTCAATGTGCTGAGGGAAATGGAAGCAGTGGCTGATCCAGCCTATGGAGTAGTGCCAAGAGGACTTGGGTAGAATAGAGAAGGAAAGATAAAGTGACATTACAGCAAAAAAGATGATATGGAAAGTATTTAAATGAGTAGAAGCTCACCAAAAGAAAAGGACAAAAGGTATGGTAACGTTTAGCTTAGTGCAGGTATGTGAGAACAGCTGAAGGCTTTGTTAGGGGAAATATACTGTGAATTAAGAGGAAGAGTTCTGAAGAAATGGTAAGGTGAAACTATTGGAATTCAGTGATAAATGGCATTGACTGGCATGTGAAGGAAGTATGTATCACAATTTCAGTTTCCAGTCTACGCAGACTGTGCTAAAAGATATCAAATAATATAGAAAGAGCAAGTTTTAAGAGTGGTAAGAAAAGAAACAGGAGCTCAACTTACAACACACTGAGTCTAAGGATAGTAGGTACAGCTTTACCATAACCCATATTTTGTGGGCCACTGAAGAAAACATATAAGTAACAAATATACATGGTTGCAGCAGGGCCTAAGCCTGACCTAACCATCTGAAGACATGACACTATGCTATTAAGTGCAGTGTCTGAAGTGTTCTGTAACAAGAACACAGAGCACCTCTGAAAACCAAAACACTGTTACAAAAACATTCACATAGCATCACCATTTGTAATAGTATGCATGTGCTTGCTAAGTAACAAAACTCAACCAGGTTAAATGTGTCTCACCATTTAATTTCTGCATAAGAGATGAGGAAGGAGGACTTCACTACTGGATAGGTAAAGAAACAACTCTTAATGGGAGAACACTCTGCATCCCAGAACTACTTGTTTTCAAGCTGCTTATATTCTATTTTGCCAAATCATCATTTTCAGAGCTCTCTATTTTGTACTAATTAATGTGTTCTCAAAGTATTTTAAACTTGGATGAGGATAAATAGAGTAACGAATAGATGAAGTTCCAATTATGAGGGTTGGTGACATAATGTCACAACGGAGATGTGACTCAAACAGCTAATGGACAGAACCCTGGAGAAATCAAGCATTTTAAGGAACATATGGAAAACACAACTGAGAAAATACTGTTAGAGGTAATAGGCCAGGAAAAGATGATGTCATTGTAACATTTCCTTAGTTTTTTACTTCCTTAGTTTTGTTATAATTTTCAAAAGGAGAAAAATTATATTAACTACTGATAAAAACTTAAATTACCATATATGCATCTTTGTGTTTTCTAAGAAAACAAGACTAAACAAAAACTATGACTGAAACAAGATAACAAAAGCCACAGACAGAGATACAATCTTTATAACAGAATTGAGCCTAAGGAACAATTTTTCCAAACCCTATGTTTTGTACTAAATCATGGCTTCTAAGTCTTTTCTATTAAAATTGATATACTACTCCCTAAATCTGTGTTTTAGCAGCCTTTCTACTGAGGCAAGTAAAAAATTATCTTTTAATACCTGAAATATAGAGTTCATTTTACTCAACAGATATAGATGGTGATATAACAAAATTCATACAATATCTAGACTGAAATACTCCTTAATAACATAAACCGTACCTTTATGTTGGTTAGAGTCTGCATTAAAGTTCATTTGTCCTTCTAGATGATTCTGTTCACTATCATCTGAATGTCTTGCATGAGGATCATTATGAAGAATATTAGGCTGGGTATCACCTTGTTCTCTCAACAAAACACTAAATAGCTGAGAACATAAAAAAAATCCTATTGCTGATCCACAGAGGAAGATTAAAAGATTCAGCCAAGATTTAGAGGCCATTTCCCGAAAGTGTATTTCTGTTAAAAAAAAAAAAAATAAAAGCAGGATGTTACAAAATTATAAATCAGTAAACAGACCAAGAGAAAAAGTTTGATAACTTTCAGCTGTAACAGAAAGTTAATCTCGTCTATACAGGAGAACATTTCTAATAGTATTTAACTTTTCTTATCTATGACTTTTTTCTTTATTTCTTGCTATAACTACTTATAATTTAATAAAACAGGTAATTAGAAAAATAATTATTGTTGACATGGATAATTGTACTACATATGTAAAGAATCCTATTTTTCCTTTTCTTCGTGAGCCAACCCTCTTCGCCATGATCTCCCCACCACCCCCTTTCCTGTCAGCTAGGACTACTGACTCTCACTTTTATAGCAATAAACACCTATTTACCTACCCAGAAGTTATTACCTTTTCCTGTAAATGATTAGGGGAAAAAAAAAACAAGCTTTAGTCTTTGTGGACCATAATGTCATCTGTGTTGCATCCTGTTCTTTCTAAATATCTTTTTAAAAATGTAAAAAGGATTTAGCTTGCAGAGGGACTTGCCTGCTACATGATTTTGTAATTAAAGCTTTATTTGAATATACTCAGGTCCATTCATTAATGTATTTACTCTAGCTGCTTTTGCACTCCAAATAAGAGTTGTTAAAACAGAGAACAGGCTTACCTGAATCATTACAGAAAAAGTGCTGGCTTCTGCTATAACACCACAGCAGTGCTGGATGCTGCCTCCTGCTGCTTACCCTCCTTCCCTATTACCTCACTAGACTGCCAGATGCTGAATGGCATTTATGTGTTACCAGGACTCATACCCTTAGTAAGGAGCCTGGAACATAACGGCTATTCAAAAGATATCTGTTGAACTGTCCCACAACCAAACACACAGACTCTTTTTAGGGGTTTGCGAATACTTAACACACACTGCAATTATAAATTCCCTGTGAGACTGTACTAACTGCACAGTTTCCAACTTCTCATGATAATTAAAAAATAAGTTTAACATCTACCATATGCCAGAAGCTTTTCACCACACATAATTTCATTTTTCATTCTTATTAGACCCATTTTGTAGATGAGGAAACAAATTTTGGAGAGTTAACGGATAACACACACAGGCTGGCACAAGCAAGGAAGAGTTACAATTTGCATTGAGGTCTACTGACTTCAGAAAAAGCTGGTGTTTTCTGTTACATTTCTCAAACTTGTCATTCAATTACTACCAATAGTAGAAGACAGTGGACACATGCAATAAAGTTAGGAGTCTGAGAGACGAGCCCTAAAATCAAAATTGCTTTGAGAGAGTTAAGAAAACTAAAATCTACAAAGCAACAATCACCTCTACAACAACAAAAATAAAACAATTTCACAGGGCTGTATTTTCTGAATGGCTAAATTCTTTTAGACAAACCATCAAAGTACAATCAGAAAAATTAAACTAAATGTTAAAAAACTAAACTAAACTAAACTAAACTAAATGTTAAAAAAAAGTATGTTTGAAGACATTGGTAAGATAAGAAGATAGAATTAGTGGGTACGGAAAAAAAGAGAAGGGCGAACTGGGCACTGTCACATCTCTGTTCCTCAAGACAATTACAGTGTCCTCTGTATTCATGGGGGATTGAGTACCAGAATCCACAGAGGCTCAAGTGTCTTACATAAAATGACAAGGTATTTGCATATAAACTATACACATCCTGCTGTATAGTGTAAAGTATGTATTACTTGTAATACCTAATTCAATGCAAACTTTGTAAATAGTTGTTATACCGCGTTGTTTAGGGAATGACAAGAAACAAAACTACATACACTCAATACATATGCTACTCTCCTCCAACTAGTTTCAAACCATATTTGTTCTTTTTTTTTTTTTAAGCCAGTCAAATTTAGCAGTGGGGGGAGGTGGTATTTCAAACCATATTTGGTTGAAATCATGCATGCCGAACCTGTGGACATGAAAGGTTAACTGTACTGATTCTGAAAGAGAAACAGTTGAGAGGCAATCAAACTAAGCCAAAGTCAAAGTCTTTACCACAGGTCTTGAAAAACACTCCTTTGTGTTACAAAATTTGTTTTTAAAATTTAAAATCTTTAATGCTTGCTATATCTTCTCAGAGTATTCTCACTCAAGTCTGTGTGTGTGTGTGTATTTGATTTTACTCCATCTTCTCCCAATTTCAAGGACTCCTACCTTATGACTAAATATCTGTAAATTACTTTTCTTTCCTGGTGTGATAGTAAAAAAGTCATCTTATGTAGGTGGAATGCTCCTCACCCCAAAGTGCTCTCAGAAATCTGACAAAAATTATCATGTTCACCTTTTCAAATTTTTCACCAATGTAGTGAAGCAGAGATTGGAATAAAAGACTGCTTAACCAGGTTGCATATTAATGGGGCTTCTATATTTATCTGAATTGGAGAGGAGGTTATTTATGCCAAGTGTTTTCCAAACCTGGTACTTTCTCAACTTGATGCCTCAGCAGAATCACTAGAGAAGCATTTTAAACATACAGGTTTATAGGCTCAAGAACTGAGAATTCAGATGTAAAAAAATCTGTTTGAGACAACAACAGATACGTTTGTACTAAGAAAGCTTTGTGTTGTGTACTGTTAAAAAAAATACACAATCCAAAGAAATCTCTCCAAATCTTACCAAGAAATAACCATCACTAACATTTGATAAATATTACAGACTTACTGCTATGATTAAAGGACAGACCAGTGAAAAATGTAAAAATTCCCATAGTCACACTAGCAATGTGAATCAAGAATTTACTCTTACACATTGTTATAGTTTCTACTAGTCATTTTGTTTCAAATATTTAACATAAACTGGATTTATAGGGAAAAGAAGGAAATGAATCTAGAAGAGCTATTAAATGTCATTTAGATATTTAGACTACGACATCCCCCCATCCTCTAAATTACCCCTTTAAAGATTTGGAAAACTACGAAAAACATAAAGCATTTGGAGGCCCTTTATTTAGCTACATATTTCAATTTTAGATAGTAACTTGTTTCTCACTGTGAGAGATGTGGAGCTCACGAGCATGCATACCTGTGCACACACACACACACAGAAACACACCGTAATTTTTGTGAACTATTTTTATTTGGTAAAATTATGAATTGTAATTTCATGACTGCTTAATCTTACATCTCTATGAAATTGGATCCATACTTGCTGTGACACAGCTCCTCTAAACTTTAATTCTTCCTGAATGTCCTATTTTTGTTGGCTGGATGTCAGCAAGTAGTTCACCTATCAGTGCAAAATGAAATCTTGCAAGCTTGAAAATGTCTGCTATTGCCTTAATAAATGAAGCACAACTTGATCAAATATAAACATCTTCTTTAGAATTTTGTACACATTATTTCATGGTCTTCTCACATAGGGCCTGAGAAGTTTGAGAACTGCTCCTTCACACTTAAAATATAGGTATATAACTTATTTCACTGTCCTCTGTTTCACTGTGCTTTAGAGGTATTTTTACAATTTCAAGACATGTAACAGCCCTACAGTAAGCAAGTCTGTTTTCAAATAACAAGTGTTCACTTTGCATCTCGGTGTCACAATTTAGTGATTCTCCCTTTATTTCAAACTTTTTCAGTATTGTTTTATCTGTGATCTTTGATGTCATTATTGTATTGTTTGGGCACCATGAACCATACTTACTTAAGACTTTGAACTTAAGAAAGGGTATGTGTGCTCTGACTGTTCCATTGACCTATTCCTCATTTTTCTCCTTTTTTGTAAGCCTCCTAACCCCTTGAACACAAAAGTATTTTAAGTTTCATCAATTAATAATCCTACAAAGGCCTTGTAAGTGTTTAAGTGAAAAGAACAGCCACATATTTCTCACTTTAAGTCAAAGCCATAATAACTGCATTCTGGTGAGAAGGGCATGACAAAAGGTGAGAAAGTAAAAAACTAGGCCTACTGCACCAAACAGCCAAGTAGGGAAAACAAAGGAAAAGTTTTTAATGGAAATTAAAAGTGCAACCCTAGTGTACACATGAACAATACGGTGAAACAGTCTTAATGTTGACATGGAAGGTTTCAGTGGCCTGACGGAAGATCCAACATTAATATACCGTTTGGCCATATTCTAACCCACAGGTGAGGGTTGGAATACGGCCAAGGAAAAGGCAAGTCCAAAGCTAGCAAAGGTAGGTCAGGAGGTTTAGGAAAGAAAAGTTCAAGGCGAAGCAGAAAATGCTACTGTGGAAACTACAGCAAATTATTCAGAAGACCTAGCTACAATAAGGGATGAAAGTGGCTATTAAACGACAGATTTTCAGTGTAGAGGAAATGACCTTATTTTGGGAAAAGATAACCCATAGATCTTTCATGGCTAACGAGAAGTCAGTATCTTTCTTCAAAAGGAAGACTTTTGTTAAAAGCTAACCCAGCTGGTGTTTTGAAGCTGAAGTTAATGCTCATTTATCAATCCAAAAGCTCCTACGGTCCTTAAGAATTATACTAAACCTACTCTACTAGCATTCAGTGGAACAACGAATCCAAAAGACAGCATTTACAGTGTAGTCTATCAAATAGTTGAAGTGCACTATTAAGACCTATTGCTCAGGGGAAAAAAAAAGTTAAAATTTTACTGCTCACTAACAATGCATCCAGTCACCTGAGACCTCAGAGGGAGATACTGTTTAAAAGTTCAAATCATTGAATCTATATAGTATTAAGTTATACATGAGAAAAGGTAAAAGAAAGTCCCTTTCCCTATTCTCATGCAATTTACATCTTAAAAGTCAAGAAATCAAAATAAATGGGGAGATATACCATGCTTATGAGTCAAAAGAATATGGTAGAAATGTCTGTTCTTCACAAACTGATATTTAGGTTTTAATGTAATTTGTATCAAAGTTTCAACAAGTAGATATAGTATTATTTTGCAATTATTAAGATGAAAGAACTAGTAAAGTTAAATTTTAAAAATATGAAAAAGGCAGGAATATCATATAGACCCATATATAGATAGCTCAAACTGATTTGTGA